AAAAATTTGTTCACACACATCATCGGGAGTAGTTTTCAACCAAGAAGGCGGTGTACGACGATATGGTAAAGCTGAACTAGCTATACCTTTACCAGGTGCATGCATACGACCCATTTTGATTTATTTATTTTATTTATTATTTTTTGAATGCAGAAAAAAAAATTTTTTTTACTAATTTTGTTAGGAAAGATCGACATCTCACAATGTTTCGAGGCAATAAAATTTACATATGCTAGAAAATAGTAAACAAGAAAATATAAAGCAATTGAAAGCCATAAAGTAACTTTAATTAAATTTTTTGGAAATTGTTGTATAAACACCATATAAACAAGTGATAAAGCAATCCCGATTAATGCGCTATAAACAATTGGTTTTAATATTTTTTGTATTAGTATTAAGAGTCCAGAAGTTTCAATAGTTCTTGTATCTGCCAACTCTTTCTAACCGAAACAACGTAAGCACCAAAGTGTATTAAAAATAATATTGCAGCCCATAAATCTGTCATATATGTTTCGTTTAATCAACAATAATGAAATGATGCTTACCTTGATATTTTGGTTTTGTATTCCATTTTTCACCCGCCGAACTTTGTTTTACAGGATGACTTTCATAGTTTTGATAATAAGAATTGTTTACTGGTATCACTTTTGTAATAACTATTGGATTCTGGAGGTGGCGGTGGCGGATATTGTGTTGAGTATTCCGGAGGTGGAGATTGAGGAGGTTCGTAATTTGAGTAAGCTTTATAACTCATTTATAGTTGTTTTGTATTTCTTTTGTTTAGAAAGATGATTTGAGAAAAAAAAATATCGAGAATGAAGGTTTATATCAATATATGGAAAATGTAAATATTATACAATAAAGAAAAAAGAAATTTCCTATTTGTCATGTCATGATTTGTGCGAAATAGTATTACTGTCGATTATTTGTCCACGTTCAGATTCAATTTTAGCGAAAAAATTTTATTTTTTAAAAAAGTAAACAACAAAAATGTAAAAATATATGTCGCCTTGTGCCAGAACTCAAGTTATTATTTGCCAGAATTTTGGGTGTGCTATTATGTAAGTTTGGGCAATTGATAGGCTGTATTTTTTTTTTTTGCGTACATAATTTTGAAACTTTTGTCCGTAATGCATATGCATATTTTCCCATATATCGATCGATGTATTCACTCATCTTTGCTTAAACCCTTATAGTCGATTATAGAATATGATAGAAGAGTCAATGGCTAATATTTCATATCATCCATACAATATCTGCGCGAAAAATGAATGAATTGCCTTTTTGCATAGTATTAAAAATCTCATATAAATCGTATAATTACCATAACTCATTAAATCAACATCCCTACTATCTTTGATAAAAAACTAATCGCAAAACTCGTTAATAGTAGATCAGGATATGATATGAAGTATATAACTCCAATCATTGTGGTTTTGCTGGCAGTATTGATATAATGATTTTTGCTGTTATTATTAAAAATCTTTATGGTGTGAACATCAACTCACCATGCAGAAAAGGTCAGTAACTTGCTGCATCAGGGCAACGTGTTTGGGTAATAGTATACAACTAACATTTTTATTCACTATGGAAATTTTTTAAAAGTATATATAACTTCAAATTGATATATTGCAAATTTCAAAAAAATTTTAATAGTATGGTATCAAAATTAATATCGATTTAAATTTTTATTTATTAATATATATAAATTTATATAATTGTTATCAATCATCTTTTTTCATTCCATTGATTATTTCACAGTAACTTTAATCCCTTTGGTCTTCACACTGTCATCCAATTAATGAATATTAAAAACGACTAATATCTCTTCCAAATATTATTGTTATTAACCTAAAAATTATGTTTATCAACCAAAATAATTAAATTTTTTAAACAAAAAAAAAAGGAATGAAATTTTATTTTTGCTACTTACCAATACATGGGACTATTTTTAACGGCAGGGAAAATGATAATAATAATAAAAAATAAATTTAGTTGTACAATTTGTGTATTATTAAAATTTTTTGATTAATAATACTACTACTACTTACATTAACATTTTATTTCGTAAAGAAACCGTCATTGTAAGATATGAAGATCTCCAAAAAATCCATGCAAGAAAACCACTTTCTTTAATTTGTTTAGATACAGTTGTCATATCAACAAGGGCTATTTTATTTTTATTTTTTTAATGGTAATGAAAAAACGAGAGTTCCTTTTAATATATTCTATTCAATACTTTCAAATTCCAATTTTACACAAATCTTGGATTACCTTCTTTTTTACCAATATATGCCATACTGCCAAAATTTGTAAATTTAAAAGGTTTAACTCCAATAAGTGATCCACTATTTTTGGCAACTTGTGTTAAAGCTATATTATTATTAAGAAAAAAATAATAATTAAAACGATTAAAACTATGCATTGAATCACATATACACATTTAACATTAGTAAAAAATTTACTTTTTCGTAAATAAAGAGCCTTTTGATTCGCAACTTGAGCAGTTGCAGGTAAATCATAATCTTTAATGGATGCACAATCACCGAGAGCAAAACTAAAAAAGTGAGTGAGCGAGCAAGTGAGCAAATGAGTAAATGATTAAATAAAAGAATAAAAAAAATCGAACATAGATGAATTACACGTTATCAAATGGATAGCTGGATTCTTTATCCAATACCCTTAAAAATTCATCAGTTAATAAACGTTTTGCCGAACCATCTTTCATCACCTGATCAGACATTGATCGTGTCAAAGGATTTTCAGTGATTCCTGTTTTTATTTATATTAATTACCAACCAACCAATTATCACTAATGATCATTTATCACCATCAATTATGTCGTCACCACCAATCAAATCCCTTATCAATATTACTAACCGGTAGCCCAGACTAACATTCCATAAGGAACTTCGCCATCTTCTTTTATGATCATATGACGTTCTTTAACTTCCAATACGCTACGACCGGTTCTAATTTTTATACCTTTTCTCGTAAACTTTTTTGTCGCATAGTCTCTAAGCGATTGATCAAAGGATCCAAGGATCTGTGGTGCAACATCGTAGACTGTCATTGTGACTGAATTTATTAGATCGGGATAAAGTCTTGCCATATCTTCTGTGATGAAATCGTGCAACTCGGCACTGAATTCTATACCGGTAGGACCACCACCAACAATGGCAAAATGTAATAAACCCAAAGCCTCCTTTTCATTAACCATTGGTTGACTTGCGTGTTCGAAGCATTCGATGACACGTTGACGTATTCTACGAGCATCGGACACATCTTTTAAGAATAAGGCGTATTCGCCGACACCAGGTATACCAAATGTATTTGAATTTGCACCAACAGCTATTATCAATGTGTCATATTCAAGCTTGAATTTGTCTGTGTTACGCTCAAGATTTGAAGTACAGTAAAGTATTTGTTCCTTTAAATCTAAAATAGTTGTTTTGTTTTGTTTAATATATAATATATATTTGTATGTGTATTTTTTTTTTTAAAAAAATAAAAACTGAATATTTAATTAATTATTAACATACCAACACGGTCAGCGTAAGCTTGATAATATTGTACCTTGGGTGAATATCTTCTTATAGGTTCCATTATGCATCTAAATTCCAAAGTTCCAACTGATGATGAAGCAAGTAATGGTGTGCTGTATATGTGTGTTTGTGTGTTTATGAATAATGTAAATTATATAGTTCATAAAATCAAATGAAGATAAAAAATTTACTTACAAAACAAAATAATTTCTAAAATTTAATTATATAATAAAATACAAATTAGTAATTAAGGACGGGGAATTGGAATTTTTTTTATGTATTACCTTGGAGAAATAACTATTACTTCGTGATGCTTCGTATCTATATCTCTGAGTAATTTATATCCTATAACAACAATGGATAATAGAAAAATATTAGAAAGTAAAGATATCAAAAGGAAATTAAGAAAATATTTTTACCTGCCCATCCCGATCCTTTAAAAATTAAAGAATTTTGTGATAAATACCAAAAATTTAAAGAAATTAAGGATTGATTTCTTTATATGTATGTATATATATAACCTTACCAAGAATAACTAAGCGACCTAATAAGAAATCACAAACAAATAAATGAACAAAGGAACATATTAAATTCTCGATTAAAATTTCTCTATTCTTGTTTATTTTTTACCTTGAGTTTTCCCCAAAGAAGTGATATATTTTTTATCAATTGCATGATCACTTATAATAAATTTCTTTGATGGAAAAATCAAATCATCATATTTTTTATTACGATTATCATTAGTTTTCAAGTGAAATTTACGATTATGGAAAATCGATGAAAAAATTGATTTTACAATTAGTTTTTGTTGTTGAGAAGTTGGGAAATTTTTATTATTTTCTTGAACCACTAAAATTATAAAATAGATTAGTTTTAGCTCTTGATTCAATTAATTATAAACGATGATCACACTTACAAAAATAATTTATTGCTTTAACTAATTTCATTTTTTCTTTTATTTTTTTTTTTTTAGAAAATATTTTTTTGCATTCCTGATTAATTTAAATGATTTATCGTCAATACAATATCATATTGTTATTACTATTATAGTATTTTGTATATGAAGATAGGATTTGGCAATGTTTTATTGTAAAATGAATGATATTGTTATGATTTGGTGAACTTTAAAAAGAAAAAAATAGAATCTTAAAATAACAAGGAAAATCATATGTTAAAAAAAAAAAAAATATTATTGTTTGTGTTTTTATTTATTTCAGATATATCTATGTTTATGCTGCAGCATTAACCTTCAAATCTTCTAATAAGCCATCTTTTAAATCAAAAACAAATCCATGAACTTGTATTTTATGTTTAGCAGATTTAACGAGATGATTTTCACTAATTTTTTCCACTTGTTTCACTACATTAGCTTTGACCAATTTATGTTGAACTTCGTCACTTCCGAAATGTGGATTAGAGAGAGAGAATTCAGAGTTTACCGCCTCCAATTCACGTATTCCTTCCAACCATTTTATTAGATTAGGATCAAGTTCTTGATTAAAACAATTTTTGGCCCCACCACAACCTGTATGACCTAAATATGGATAAAAAAAGATTTTATTTATTTGTCATTTTCATTATTTAAAAGTAGAATCGAATGATATTTTAAATTAAAATTTATTATTATTTGTTTATTTACCACAAATAACAATGTGAGAAACTTTCAGAGCTTTGACAGCATATTCTAACACTGACATGCAATTGGTGTCATCGGGTTTGAATTGATTTGCTATGTTACGATGCACAAATAATTCGCCAAATCCTGACTGAGTAATGAGTTCAGGTGGAACACGAGAATCAGCACATCCTATATAATGAATGAATGAATACCAGTAGATACTATTTTTACACAACTGTTGTAAAAATAAATTTAAACTTTACCAATCCAAAGAACTTCGGGGTGTTGTGTTTTAAGTTTGTCAAATAATTCTTTATCATCCTTATTTTTATCTTTTGACCATTTTTTGTTATTTTCAAGTAATTCTTTAATTTTGTTATCGCCTTTATTTTATTATTAAAGGTAGAAGAGTAGGATAAATTATGAATATTATTCTTGTAATCGTTATTAAGGAAAGTGAACAAACATTATTAAGAAAAATCTTTTATTTTAATTGAATAGTAGAATAATAAGATATATATTATCTCATACCCATGATTTTTATTATCGTTAAATTTTTTTTTAAAGAGATTTTTTGTGTCCCTTTTATATGAAAACTTTTATCTGATAGTATCAATATGGGATCAAACTATCTATTATATCTTTATCAGATTTTTTATTAATATCCTTTTTTATCTTGCCAAGTTAAATTTTTATATTTGTGTGAAACCTCCAATTTTCGAGCACGGCTTTTACGCTTTAACTTTTTTGTTAGGATCTATTGGTTAGATAATAATAATAATAATAATAAAGGTTTTCGAATAAAATAAGTTAGGGAAAGGCTTACTCTTAATATCAACAATTTTTCTTGGCAACAGATCCAATAAAAAAAAGATGCAAGCACTAAATTTTACACAATAAACAATTATGAAATTTCGAATATTAATTTTCTCTCTTATTAGATTAGTTGGATTTCAATTTCAATTAATTCAACAATTAATGGTAAGAATTTAAATTACAAGTAGCACCCAATTTCTAAATAACAAGATTATCATTCCTCACTAAACTAATATCGGTGATGTGTTTATCATCAACATATAAATTAATTCTCTGTATTTCCAAGGTTTAACATGTTCAATGTAAAAATGGGATATTTTTTGGAATTTTAATACTACATATTTATAAATTCATCGAGCTAGCACGGGGAGATTTTCAATCTAAATCCAAATTTTTTAGCAAAACGTGTGGGACTATCTATAGGATACACATTGATTGATATTGTACATGGTATTCAGGGCCTGGAAAGCATGATGGAATTTCTCTTTATCACATTTGTCCCATAGTGACGATCTTGAAATTATACTGTGTAACAAAATAATT